TGAAAGGGCTATTGCAACCACTCCTATAATCCATAAAAAAGGGTGTCCCTGGTGTTGTGGGTGTGAACCTCTAAAATCAAACCACCAACTCCCAGAGAGGGATGTTGAGAAGAGATTAGTAAGCAACTGGAATGTTTCTAAAAAGCATAGTCACTCTGGAATAATGTAAAAGAATACTTTTGAACACAGAAGAGAAAATTTTTTATAGTAGTGAAGTCTATGGTTTTTTCATGAATAAAAAAGGGGGGCAAAACCAATGGGCTGGGAGTACCAGTATGCTCTGCTTGACCAGGATTCCAAAGGCATGTCATGGTTGGACACCCCCTGGAATATTTGGGAGTTACAAAACTAAATGGACAATCCTATGAGACAAATTCAAGGCGAATTAAAAAGGCACAAACAAGTGAATTGATGCAGCTGGTACTGCAGAGCAGTCAGTGCAGCTGTGTCTCGTTGGGATGGTAACAAGGGTGAGCAGGTAGCCATGGATCACTTAACAAAGGGCCACAGGCTTTGCAGAGTTATGATAGCCATCCTGAGCTCCTCCAACTGCTTTCTGGCAAAAGCCAGTCCATGTCTTTCTTAGAAGCTGTAGGGGGATGTTTTTTGTTCCTTTCTTCTGCAGTTACTGCAATTACCTATTTGTTGATGTTTGATTTGTTTTGTTAGTTTGTTAATAGCATCAGCCCAGAAAACACCGTGCTGTTACAACTGTTACAATCCCTCTGGTCTACCCCGCTCTCTTCATGACACTCAAAATGCAAGGACACAGAAGGAACCCTACATCTAATCAAACAAGAAAGCGATTAGAAACAAGCTTGCCATTAGCAGCGGGCTGAGGGGGGGAAAAAAAACCCTAACAAAATAACAACAAAACCCCACCATTTCATTCACATCCCAGCTTTCAGAGGCAGTGTACATGCTGCCCTGTATTTTTTTTCTACTCAGTTGATACCTTTCCTTTAAAGATGCAGTGCTGTAGGAATCAGACACTTTAGAATGCACCACTTCCACAGCAGAAGGAATTTAATACAGGGAGCTACTTGAACATCTCATGTTCTTTATTATACGTTTACAAAGAACTATTCACTGAGATCTAAATGTTTATTCTGGTTAAGTGCTGCAAAGGATAATCAAAAACTATCACCCAAGGACCTGGGTCATTAACACAGGTATCTGTGCTTGGTAGAGTTAATAGGCAGTATTCTAACCTAATCTGAACAAGGAGTCTATTTTTTTCCAAGCACAGCCACCAGCAGAATATTGATAGGAAATGGAAAATGAAATAACATTCCTATTCCATCCTTATTTTCCAGTGAAACAACAAGGGGATTTACTCAATGGTTTATTGAGTGTTTCAGTGCTTGTTGAAAGTTAAGCACCTACCACTGGCCAGGGAGACTGGTCCCACCAGGCTGTTAGCATGAGGGAGTAGCAAAGGTGGCTGCTACAGGGGGAAAGGTGAGCCAGGGAGCTAAGAGCAAGGCAGTGGTACCAACTAAAGTAAGAGTCCCACGGTACCTGAGCGAGGAGAACAGAGCAGGGCCAGCAGGAGCAGGAAAGGTGAGCCCCTGAGCAGCAGCCATCTGCAGCACAGAGCAGGTCCAAGGGCAGATACAGGGGCAGGGATCAGGAAAAGGCCACCTCTCATGCCTGAAAGAAGCTCCTAAGGCACAGCAGAGAAGGCTCACGTGGAACTTTCCCCACCTGGCTGTTTCTCAGCAGCCTGATGGGGGTCACACAGGTGCAGCACATCAGAGCTGAGCCAGCCCCTGGGACAGGGAGGCTGCAGAGCTGGGGGCGGCACTCAGCCCCTCACAGTTACTGTCACCATCCCATTTGTCCAGTGGTCACAAACAGCTGAGGCTCTAACCCACCCTCTTGAGACAGCAGGACTCCTCCTGCAGAATAGTGATGCTGACAGACTGGAAGAAATTATCAACAGAGGCAAGAAAAGTTATATCTTATGCTTGGACTGCACTATTAGAAATGAACTTAAAGGGTCTGGATAGAAAAAAAAAGTGAAATTCAGCACATTAGCCAATGATAATGGGGGAAAGAAAAGCACTACGGCCTTCCTCTAGTCTAAAAGGTATGACCTAGTCAGTCTTGCTACTCTTGCTGTTTCATGTTCATCATTACCATAATTTTTAGGAATTTCAATAATTCTTTGTAGTTCTAGAGAGTTTACATTATCTGTCTTGCCAGGATTGCAACTATTCTTAGGTGGAATCCAGAGCTACTCATTGAGCTCCATCAGTGAGTGCCAGAATAGTGCGGGTTAATGCTGTGGATGGGGATATTGAGGTTTGGCTCTGGATCCCTCCTGCTGTCAACTGCTGAATCCCAGCATGTGGATGATATCTCAAAGGAGTGTATCCCAGGAATTAGACAAGACTGGTAAAACTCTGGGTGTTGGGTGTCAGGTGTCAAGCAAGTTCCTCGCCTAAGAGCCAGAGCAGCATGAGAGGGAGCTGGGAGGGGCTGAGAGTGTTCAGGACACAGTGTGTTCAGAGTTTGGCAGAGGACGTGATACAGGGAGGTGTGTGTGAGAATGTGGACTTGGTGGGAATTTTCTTGGATGTTATTTCAGTCTGTTGGCTTGGTTAGCACAGAAAGTGTTCCTGGCAGTAAGCTGAAGAAGGAATTGTGTCTTTTACAAGCAATGTAACAGCAGGCTGAGGGTGAGAATGAAGACGCTGTGTCTTGGAGTGAAGTCAGGTTCGGGATTCAATGTGTGCAAGGAGTTACAGTCCAGAAATGGCTACTGAGTGTTTGCTGGGAGGCAGAAGGGCATTGTAGGTCTGCAGAGCAACACGGAGATGCACCCACACGGGCTGTACCTGGGCTGTGTGGGAACAGAGCCAGGCAGGGAATCAGCTGCTTGGTGAGGACCACAGGTGCTAAATGAGCATTTGGAGTCAAATCCCAAATTCCTGTATTTTGTGTGTACACTCCTTTTGTGTTGGGCTGGAAACTTGGAGAGATTCACGAGGGGAACAAGGAACTAAAAGGGACAGGTGGAACTCCTTGATTAGTTTCACACGGGCAACTCTAAGTGAACACAGAGGGCCAAGTGGGAAAAAGGAGAAGCTCTGTCGGGCAGTTCCCCAAAAGGCCAAACACAGAAGCAGGGAGAAGCTGCCGCGTGGTGCTGGCAGTGTTGCAACACAGATCTGGAAGTCTGTGGAATGGCCTTGGTGCTTACATAGGAAATAAAACACATTTCCTGCATAAAAGTCCCGCCTGTGCCTGTATCTTGGTCATACCTGCCCTCAGACTGCGCATCCACTGCTGTGCTATACGTGGGGTCTTCTGCAGGAACACTTATGACAGACTCCTGTCCACAGAGCCGTGTGTGGGAGTTTGGCGATGTCCTGAGGGGTTTGTGCGCTCCGCAGCTCCCGCGCCATCTCTCCCAAGAGTGCCAGGCCCCACAGCTCCCCGGACTCTCTCTGTGCCGGCGGAGGGGGCCGCAGTGTCAGCCGCTGGCCCAAGGTATTGGCAGGCCTGGCCGCAAGTTCCAGCACGGCCTGAGGGCAGAGGCGGGGCCGCTTCCTCAGCCCGAGCGGAGGCGCTCGCCATGACAGGGGCGGGACGCGGCGTCCGCGCCCGGCCGCCGTGAGGGGGCAAAGCCGAGACACGGCGGGGCGGGGGTGCGCGGGGCGGTGCGTGAGGCGATGGAGCGTGAGGCGATGGGGCGCGGGGCGGTGTGCGAGGGGCGCCGTGCGAGCTCACGGCCGGGCCGCCGTGCGCAGCCCTGTCCGCCAGGAGCGCGCGGGGCCCGCCGCGGG